CCCCATAGAAAAAAATAATCAATTTTCCAGCTGTCAACACCGAATAAAAAACACCTGTGTTAAAAAATGCATTTCTGTGATATTTTAAACTAAAAGTAAGTGATATTTATTTCAAATCAGAATAATTCAACTTTAAAAAAGCTAATATTCCTCAAATAAAGTTTCAGAAAAGTATATTTTATTTTTGAAAGATTTTTTTAATAAAGTGAGTTACATTGTATTGACAGATGGTGATTTTTAGTGATTTCAAAAAAATAAAAAATATACTGCTTCCAGTCAATTTAAATTAGTTTTGAAATAGAGCAAAGTATTTGCGTATTGGAAATATTAAATTTAATCTATTAACTTGAAATTAAAACTAAATAAAAGCTTCAAGAAAGATTTTTCATTTTTAAAAGTTCATTTTAAACATTAGGTATCATGTTTATTTGAAGTATATATATATATATATATATATATATATATATATATATATATATATATATAGGTAGGCACCTCCAAAAATTTGGTAAACCTAAGGTTTAAATTAATTTTCATAAATGAAAAATCTTTCTTGATATTTTCATTTTAGCTTTAATTAAAAGCTAAAGGATTAATTTTTTTAATTCTAGAAAGCAAAATATAGTGGTGTATTTCAAATAGAAATTCGAATAATTTTTGATTCATTTTTTTTTTCAGAAAAAAACAATAGAAATGGCCATTTTGACATATTCTCAGTTTTAAAAATCTCGCAAAAACAAAATATTTCTGAAACGTTTTTTTTTGCAGAAAATTAGCAAATTTAAAGTTAAATAGATATGTTCTGAAACAAATATTACTTATAGCATAAAAAGTTGTATACAAGCATTTTTTAACCACAAAGTCTTGTTATTTTCACATCTCCATCAATATATTGTCAACCTAAGGTGTTGACTGGTTAAGTATGGTGGACCAGAATTAACATAAATTTATGGATTCTAAGTAAAAATGGTTTGTTTTTGTTTTTTAACTACCAGGTAATTTTTTAAAATTAACAAAATATTTTAAGCAAATATCTAATATTTTAAAATTTTTTTAAGGTACATGAACCTTACATTTGAAGATGCTTTCTGAAAACAATAAAATTTAAAATAATATAAAAATTTCTTAAATGAATAATAATTCATAAATTATTGAGTTACCTCTATAATGGCATTTCATTATTGCAATTATTAAATTAAAAAATTTAATAAGTGTGATAATATGGTAATTTAATTTAATAACTGAGATAATATAATAAATAAATTTATTATTATATTATCAGTTATTACATTTTTAATTCAATAACTGAGATAATATAATAATACTAGCTGAATTACCTGCGCCTTGCTGCATATCACACATTTTTTTGTAAGAAAATAATTGATTTTAAATCATTGCTATAATGTTTGGAGAAAAATAATGCATTTCAATATTACTCAACGATCTTGCCAATGTGACCTCCATACTTGATTGAATTGATGAGCAGATTTCAACATTGATAGGACAGATAAATTGTCACAACAAATATGTATTGTAAGGCACTATCCACTGATTTGTGATTTCTTGCTCAACTTGATGTCCAGACTGTCTCATTTTGATGTGACCTCTATCTTCTGGCTTTCTCCTTCTATATTTTGGATAGGAGTCATTCCCTTGCTCAAATTTAAATTTAATTTAAATCAAAGGGGGGGAAAAAAAATTCACTGGTGGTGGGCGGTATTATTACTGAGGTAATTGTACACTTATTTTATTTAAGCATAATCCAATACCTCAAACAATGTTGTATGAAAAAGAAATTGCTAGCATGCATAACAGTTATAAAACTTTTTGTAATATTTTGTGGCACTGAAAAGGGACGTTTTTCTCTTCGTATGCCTCTTCAACCCTTCTTGGAAGTGAAATGAAACAATTGCTCACAGTTGAAAATTTTATGAGCAGAATTTTCAGTAAAGGTGACAAGCCTTGAAAGACATGACCTTTTAACAATAATGTCAGGTATGAAACACCATGCTTTAAAAAAAAGAGCATTTAGACACGCAAAAAAATTGTTTTAGATTATTTTAAAAACTTTTACTGTGATGATTTGTATTAAGCTTTTCAATTTTCACTTAGTAAATATAGTCTTCATTTAATAACTTAATAATCTAAATTTGACAATGCTTAGAAGAATTTTAAAAACATTTTTGAAACTTTATAAATTATTATAATTAAAAAAAGAAAAATACAAACAATTGTTGTAAAAATTCATTGAAAAATTTTTTCTCTTCAGACTATAATGTCCTTAATATATATTATTTATAAAAACAATAAAAAGTTTATGTAATTAAATAATTAGATAGTTTTATTGCAGTTTTTATTTTAAAAATTGGAGCAGATTTTAGGCAAATTGGTAAAAGTTTGAAAAAAACAAAAACAATATTGATTTACATTCTTCAAGTAATCCTGCTTTTTACTAATAAAAAACATTTGGGGGACAATTTTAATTTCTAGAAATTTTATGAAATTAAATAAGTAGGGGTTAACAGATGTAAAAAAAATTTTTACCAAGATTTTCTAAAAATAATAATTTCAAAAATAAATCTGTTCATTTTTGAATAAGTCCTGAAAGGGTCATTCCATGTCAATTCACGAGGACATTACACCCACCAACACCAAATTACTTGAAATTTGGCACAAATGTTCCCCTCCATGAGTTAGGAAAGTGTGCCAAATTATTTTGTACTAGACTTTACCCTTCTAATTTTAAGTGGGAGGTGTAAAATTTTCCTATTTTGCCTCTAAATTAAGGCTGTGCAACGTCGCCAAATCTCAGTGTTTTTAAAAATGAAAGTAAAATACTTCCATACCTTCAATACTTCTGAAATTTGGTATGTAGGGCAAATAAGAATTGTAGAATCCAAATATTTAACTATTTCAAGCCTACACTTGATAGAAAATTTTATTTTGCTCACCCAAATACATGACCCCAAAATCAACAACTTTTCATCTATGTAGCTTACGGTCAGTCTATTGAAAATACATCCTCTTCAATTTTCATAATGCTTACTCAAGTTCAAAAAATTTTGTGAGGGTTTTAAGTCTACTTTAGAAGATATGACCCTGCCAAGTTTAGAGTTTTTTCCTATGTATGCGCAGGATTTCTGAGAAAGATTATAATTAAAGACAATCATTCTAATGCTCCATGACCTTGAAAATGTTGATATTGTGCTAAGTAACTTCTTAAACTATTCAATAAGATTGTTTTTATCAATTTAAAAAAAAAAAAATAATTTATATATATTTTGCAGATATTACTTGTTGTACAGATAGATTGTCTTTAAAAATGGTAAAAATGCTTCATGTGTGATAATCAACAGTGCACAGAAAATTTGTAAATACTATTCAAGAAGTTAAAAGAAATTCTTTCTATTTGTGTTTTTTTTAATTTTATTTTGGTAAATTATTTTCATGAAACAAAAAAACATTTGATTTTTTTCATTCTCAAAAAAGTCATAAGATAAATGTGAATCTTTAAAACAATATTTGTAGTTGGCACTTAAAAAATTTATAGAGTTGAAGGAAATGCTTTCATTACTTTTTTTAAATTTCCATTTTTATTTTTTAAATAATTTTTCAAAATTATTTTCATGAAACAAATATTTGAATTTTGTTTCATTCAGGAGAAAATCATAATAAAAATGAATATACAAAGAGTCTTTAAAAGATTACATTTTAAACTACACCATGCACTAAATTTTGTTGTGCATATAGACTAAATTGTTTTGGATATAATTTTTTTTCAAAGATAATTTATCCATCTTGGACAAATGATAAACTCTACTATTTGCTTTTGTAGGAACATCAACAGTGCACAGAATATTCATTAATGGTACAAAACATATATCCTTAAAATCTTCTTTCCAGTAAAATGAATGTGATGGAAGAGCTGGGTGCATGAACTTAATCAGCAAGTCCTTATTCTCTATATCAATTTCCAGGACCATGCCAATCCAAATTTTATTGTCGCACTTGCAAGAAACATATCCTGAAACAAAAAAAAATACTGGTTTTTCTTCAGCCCCAATAGAAAAGTCATATATTAGGTCATAGTTTTCATCTTTGCTACATTGTTTCATAGCTATTTTATCTCTGGCGAATGGAATAAATTGATGAAAACTTCTTGTTCCTGGGACTGTGGATGCATTTTTGAATGTCATGGTGAAACTCCTCAATTTCTTCCTTTTCAACCAGAATGAATTTGATACCTTCAATTGCAGATTTACAATATTCAAACATAGATTCTGTAGAAAAGATTTGCTTGATAGTTGGTCTTTGGAGACTTTCTTTTGACTCTATCCTTTTCCCTGTTGCACTGATGCCATCACACGGTTGTTTACCATGACTTGTTGCAAAGAAATTCCATTGAAATAGTTAAATATTTGGATTCTACAATTCTTATTTACCCTACATACCAAATTTCAGAAATATTGAAGGTATGGAAGTATTTTTCTTTAATCTTTAAAAATCACTGAGATTTGGCAACACTGCATGGCTTTAATTCAGAGGCAAAATAGTAAAATTATACACCCCTCCTTTAAAATTGTAATGGTAAAGTCTAGTACAAAATAATTTGGCACACTTTCCTAACTCATAGAGGGGAACATTTGTGCCAAATTTCAAGTAATTTGGTGTTGATTGGTGCAGATTTCAACTTTTTGCTGGTGTTTTGACATGGAATGACTCGAAAGTTTCATAAGTCTTTCTAAATTTGTTATTTTACCGGAAAACAGGCATGAAAATTATTATTATTTTATTATTCACAAAGAAATATCATTTGTCATATTGTAATTGAAGGATTACATCATCTTTGTCACATGCTTGTAAGGCTCTAGCCAAATTTCCATATGTGCATTGAGCAGGATTTTTTTCATACCAAGTTCTTAGCAGTTGGTAACAAATCTCTTTTAAGCCTTCCTTGTCGTAGTCAAATTTTATTGAATCTAATTCAGCATCATCTATACCCAAATATCGACCTGCAAATACAAAAATGAAATTGTGTGAATGACTGTCAAATTATTCATGACATTTTTGAATTTTCTGAAAAAAGTACAGCTGAAAAAATTATGTTCCAAGATCTCCACTCAGAATTATCCCACAGAACAGTAGTAGATTAGTAGATTATGAATTTGGTATGGTTTATATTGTTTATAGCATATCAACCGTAATAAGTTATTTAATACCGACAAGATTTTTAGGATAGGTTTGTATGAATAGAATATGTATCCTTTGTAAGAAATCAGTTTGTAGAACAGCTTTCATTGACATATTTTTGTAAAGAGGGTTTTTGTCGAGAGTTAAATCTATTGCTGGTAATATTTTTTTTTTAATGTATAGCTGGTATTTTTACTATAAAAATCTATTTTTATACTTTCATAGTGTTTTGACTACAGTTTTGGGGGGGTAACTATTTGCCTTCAGCTGGGATCCTAACAGGTGCTACTAAACCGGGTCAGAGTGGAACTGGGAAGAACAGCAATTAAGAGGTTGTACTACACTCCTCAGAACCTTCCAATCAGAGAGGCCTTGCTACAGGATTGTGAATTTGGTGAGATAGTAATTGTGAGTTCAATATAATTGGACTCAGTGGAAACAGGACAAGAAGTAACTGAGCAGTACTAGACAAGATGTCCCTAGACATGGTCAGAACAAGAATAACTGCCATAGATTATATAAAGGCTTTAGTTCAAAATTTCCTGAAGGTTACCCAGATCAACAAACACCTGAAGTAGGGTGGAGGGTACAATGACTGAAATGTTGTGATAACAACAAAGATGAAAATATTGGTCTGACTGGAAATACAGTACCACGCAAAAGTTTACAACACCTTACAAAAAACGTTTTTTAGGTATTTCTAATGCAGTTACAGTTTTTGTGTGTACTTCCAACCAATTCTCATACAGTACCCTACAGTCTTCAATGTGTATATTGATTTGAATAACCTATCGATTAAAGTGTTAGTTCAGGAATTTGGTGACAATCCCTGAGCTGGGCAGTGTGTACTTTGACTCACTGGAAACAGGGCAAGCAATAACTGAACCATACTAAAAATAAGAATGAAATGAGATATCCCTAGACATAGGCAGTGGAATGAAAACAGTCTACACCAGTAAATTCAACAAAGGGTTGGGAGCCGTCTGTGGTTGTGCTCGCATTAAGTCACAAGTCATCGTGACCGAGGGTTTGAGTGTGCTGGCCTTGTTCAGACTGTTGATCATCATATATAAAAAAGGCAGAATGTGTATGTGTGTGTTCGATTATTTGTTTGATCAGATCTCCTACATTTTTCAACTGATTTGAACCAAATTTGACACAGTTACTGCTAATGATCCTGCGGAGGTTTTGACAGCACCAAAAATTGATTTAAGTCAATATTTAAATCATTATTATCGATTTTTCATCGGACGTGTGTGTAATTATATGCATTCACTGCACACAAGCAGATATGGGCACTTTTCATGTCAGAATTAATAGCAGTAGCATAATTAGAAAAAAGTCAGATTTAAGTGCTTATATGGGAATACGAAAGGACAAGAATGGCCATATTTTGGTTTTGGATGCAAAAGTTATCACAATGAAGGATTTCTGTCGCAGCCGAACTTTGCGCTTCCAAAAGCCAATTGGATTAGTGCTAATAGTCATGCGTGGCTTGCGCAATGTGTAATGCTTGCTGCTGATTGGCCCATTTACGCTCCAGGGTCATGCGAGATCATGTGTGAATGGGGGGTGTCATGTGTGCGCACATCAAGCATCCCAAATGGGGTAGAGGTTTCAGGTAGCCTACTTTTATTTCAGGATTTAACGCTAATACCATGGTTTTTAAAAAGGATCTTTTAATGTTTCAATGCATTACTTTCCATGTTTTCTGCATTTGTACAGTAAAGGCCATTTTAAGAGGGATTTACAAAGCTACATGTCAAATTTTACCAGAAAAATCAGTAAAAACCAGGTTTTGAGGTGTTTGTAGCCCATTTAACCTACTAAAGTATAGGATTGAATTCAGTGAGCAATCACTAATACATTTCATGCCACTTCACGCCACCACTTTTAAGCCAAGTGGACAGAATCGGTGCCCCCCAATTGTCCAATTTTTCACATTTGATTGCATTTTTCCATTCGAGGGGACACTTGTTATGTCTTTTCATGCTGTTTACATGTAGCAAAATGCACCTACTCACTATAATTTTACTACTGTGCATTGCTGCCCAAAAATGTCCTCGCATGTTTTCATCTAAATTCGTGCTACTTAAATGCCTTCATCATCCATCAGTAAACGAAATTAACATTGCTTCAAATTTTGTTCCTAAGAAGTGTAAAAACGCTTGTATTTTCAACTTTTGATCAATAAAACTACCTCATATCTTCTGGCTGCTCAAAATTTTCACAGAAAAATGAAGCTTGAAAATCCCATTTTCTGATTTTGAGAGATTGTGCTACATCAGTGACAACGTAAATCAAAAAAGCAATTCCTATTTTGGGATAAGGAACTGTGTTGGAATGTGTCACGAAAAAATAAATGATTTTGTCTCTTTCTCTCCTGCTGTCGTAGTGACGAGCACAGTCTCCACTTGAGACTGAAACTGCCCTCCTTCTCATTCCAGCCCTTTACATAGAGCTTGGTAACTCACCTATGCAAAACACTAACAAGCCAGCTACCAATCACAGTTCCCGCGCCTGCCCACCTCCACTCGCTTTGGGGGGTTTCAAGTTGACCGACCAACTCATTACACGCCCCCCTGATCTTAAGATCACAAAGCTTCTTGGTTCGAGAGATGGTCGCATCTGTCTGGTGACTGCATCCGCATATATACAACTTACACGCTTGACATATTGGGATAACCACACATGTGCGAACTCGCTTGCTCCGAGGTGGCAGATTTCCAGATTCATCCCGTGTCTCGCTGTCATGATCACACACCGTGCAACTTGGGGCAGGCCTCTTCTGCCGGGCACTCCTTCTGAGTGGGATGAGAGGGTCCTCATCCTCAGATGAACTCTCATCCGTTGAGCTGCCATTCGCCTCTGGACAGCTGGCCACGCTGATGTCCGCAGATAGAGTACTGATGTTTGAGGTAAAACTCAGTGGATCCGACTTTAAATACAGTTGTAGGCAAAACACCGTCTTTAGGTGTCGCAATATAACAATAGACTGCATCGGGGATCGAACATCACTTCCTGGCTGTAATCACTTTTATAGACCGGTGGCTCCTTTCTACTATGCCGTTTCCTGCCAGCACGTAGGTGCACCAGAACTGAAGCCGCACACCCCACTTCCTTAAGAACTGTGAGAATTGCTCTGAAGAAAACGCTGCACCATTATCTGTCAATATTTCTGCAGGTGGCCCCCGGTCATAAAAGATGGACTCCAATTGACGTATTATGCTGGAAGTGTCCTGCTGATGCAGTAGTCGCCAAATGGCGAAGCGAGAGGGTCCATGGTCAATAATAGTCAAATAGATGTTACGCATGTTGGCAGCCAGCACTATCCCCAGCCTGTTCCAAACATGGGTAGTACTCAAATTTCCTTTTTGCCATTGCACCGGTGCTGGGTCAATTGACTGGCACACCCCGCACCTCTGCACTACTGTCCTAACATCCATCTTTTTGACTGCTGGGTCGACCATCTTCGAGAAGTAGAGCGTCCGTTTAATACCGGGATGCCCACACTGTTCATGTATGCTCATGATCCACTCGAGGTCCATACTGAGCTAAAAAAAGCTGTACACGGCAGTTGCAGAGGTTCAGACTCTTTCCGAGCAGCAGCCAACCAACGTTGTGGAATGCGAGTCAATGCATCTGCCCTGTTGACTGCCGATTTAACTAACACTACATCCACAGACAGGTTGTACTCTTTGATAATTTCAATCAGCGTGGTGAGCCGCCCTCGTATCAACATCTCACTCGATGCCTTGGTGGTCAGTTGCGCTCTTCCGCTAAGTGCATCTGATATCCAACGCTGAGTGCATGCTGACGATGTGTAGCACTGTTGCTTGCCATTGGAACGCCAGGTTAACCCCCTTCAGAGTGACGTCTAGTTCAGCCAGGTTTATGTGTCGTGCATCATTTTCAGGTCGTAACCAGCAGACGTCTTCTATGATAGACCCATTATCCTCAAGGGCGACACCCATGGCCAACGAGGTGGCATCCACCCAAACGGTGAGCTCGTTCCCCTTAATGCACCAGTCACCTCGCATGAGATCGTCTTGCATTACTCTCTCCAGAGTTTCAGTTATCATGCATCTTAGGGTAATGTCGCGCACCTCGTCATCCCATCCTGACGAAACAGAAGTTATGCGGCGCTTTATGGCTGCTGCTACCACTCTGAGCCAACCGCATATGGGAAAACGGCCTACCAGTTTCCCACACATGGAGAAGGTACTCCGACGAGTGATCACTGGTGGAACATCTGGGACGTCTCTACCTCGCCTCCAGTGAAGTTTTTCTCCATCACTACTGACGTGTAGTTCAAGTACATTTGCTCCATCCTGTAGCGGCTCTGGGGCCTTGCACACCAAGCCAAAGTGCTCCAGATGTTCCTTAACCCTCACTGAAGAGGCCACGTTTTCAGTGACGTAAACATCGTCAATGTAGGATGATGTTGCCCTTCGAATTTCCTCATCCTGCGACATGATCACATTCATAATTGCATACATGATTTTTGGTGCCACATTAAGACAAAATCCCAATCGAGTGAGGCAATATCTCTGTCCTTTTACCATGACAGTCTGAAAGGGCCAGAGTGATCGGTGGACTCAGACTTGGAGGTAGGCCTTTCTTAAATCGAGGGTGGCCACGTTGCTCCCTTGCTGTTGCCATTCCCGCAATTTCTGGGCACAAACGTCCCCGTTGACCGTATATGCATCTACAAAGGTATTCAATTCCCTGTAGTCCATGACCAGTCTCACTTTCCCCTTATTCTCTTGCACTATTGTCATCAACGAAATCAGTCCTTGAGGCGGCCCTAACTCCTCCTCGGGGTACGGCGCAAGCCAGCTGTTTGCTATCCAAAGCTGCAATTCATTTTCGTATTCGCCCCTGATATACTTGTAGATCGAGACGTGCTTTTCGCGCCGACCTGCTGCGAATTGCTTTCCGTTGATAGCGACAGTCTTTGGCAAAATGATTCGACCCAGAGCACCGATAGCAGGTGACATCGCCATGACGACGGATGGCTGGGGTCAGATCCTCTTTGATTTCAATTGGCTGAACAACTGCGGCCACTGGTTCATCAGCCTCTTTTTTGTCGATCATGATAGCACGGGCTTTGGTCAACAAATGGTTGAGCGTCATGTCTTCCATTCTGGATGATGCGCGAAGTATCTGCTTAACATGACTAGGCAATCCAGACACGGAGGCACAGGTCATCCATTCTTCAGGAAGTGGTGCAATCAGTATGGGGAGCTTCTTTAATTCCGCCACATATAGATCTACCGTCTTGCCAGGTCGCAGACGCCGCACCCGGAATTGGTCATAGGCCACGAACTGGTCAGTTCCAAATGCGGTTAGTAGAGCGTGCTTTATTTGCTCAATGTCACTTTTCTGTTCTTTGCTCAGCTGCCTATACACAGCAAGGGCGCCGCCTTTCAAGCGTAGTGGAAGGATCTGTTCAATCTTCGTGATCTCGCATAATTTGCAGACCAGTTCCACCTTTTCGATCCATTCAACCACAGACTGTCCACTCATATCACCACTGAATTCGGAGATCAGTTTTATGTCAAACCTTGGGCCCATCCAATCATATGCACAAGCAGTTCTCTTATGCACACGTGCGTACGTACGTCACCTTGGTATGTGTGCTCAAGGTCAACCAGCCAACCGGCTCTTTATACCATAACTCGCACGCATATTCAAATTTTTACGATTACTGTCCCACACTTGGCTCACTTCATTTGCTTCTTACAGAAACTGCAAGTTGTTGATTACATATCCAAACTGTTTTTTTTTAGTTATTAGTTATAACTACATCTGTTTCCGCGTTTATTGAATTTACTTCCCAAATTACCTACTACTGTTTTAGCTTTAGTTGAATTTTTTTAACTTCACTTTTTGTCTTCGATCCCCTTTTGATACAGTTATATACATTTTTGGGATCCCTCTAACCTGCCTACGTTTAGACTACATGTATTTTTTGCACTCAAAAAAAACTACATACCTTTTATTATGTTTACCTTTTTAAAATTGGTTAAAATGCCGCCTAAAAGAAGAAAACTTTTTTGCTGCCCGCATCTCCATGGAAGTACCGCTGAACGGACTGAAAGGCTGGCATCAGTAGCATCAGTTATGTCATCATGATGCACTAGACTTTCATATTGTTATGGCCTGTTTAGGGGCCAGAAAGAAGGACACGGAAGTCGAAGGTAGGTTGAAAAAGTATATTGAAGATATATACAAAACAATAGTGTTAGTAATATTAACACTTGTATTTATGAGAGAAGGAAGAGTTCATTATACTGTAGAGGGTTTACCACAACACATATGAAGAGCGTTTAGTACAGAATTCACAGGACGCAATATGCGTTTCTAGGGCCAGAGCTTCTGAGTCCCCAACACAGACAATCCTTTGGCATTTAAGGAATGCCAGCACTACAGCATGTTCTAGAGCATTAGAAAGGCCCGAACAAACCACTTCACATCGTCTTAGGAATGCTAGGGCTACAGCATCTTCCAGGTTTTCGGAACAACCTCAACAAACTGCTATTCGTCATTTAAGAAATGCCAGCGCTACTGCATCTGCCAGAGCTTTAGAAAGTACTGTGCAGACCACTAATCATCGTTTGAGGAATTCCAGATCTACTGCGTCTTCCAGAGCTTCAGAAAGCCCTGGGGTATGGCAAGCATGGCTCAACAACAATGGCCAAATTGCAAGGACAGACGCTCAGTGTCGCAGGTCTGCATTTAGGTGAACAGTGTTTTGCCCATGGAGAGCTTTACGTAGTCTGCTCCCGAGTCAGGAGTAAGGATAACGTTTATGTTTACTCTCCAACAAACAAAGCTAAAAATATTACCTATGCAAAAGTCCTATAGCCCATGGTTGGTCATGTTTAAATGCAATGTACACATCTTTATGTCAGCTGCATCGTAGGTTCCTTCATTTTTGAACCTGGTTTATTTAAAGGTCATAGTATCCACTTGCCATTACTAAGATATTTAAAAGAATAGCAGCATGCAGTGTTATAATATGAATTCTCTGCCATACACCATTGGTGTGTTTCTCCAATAAGGGCTGCTTTAGGTAACGCTACGTGTGCTTCACGCTTGCCTCAACTGGCTATTAAAAACCCCCCAAAAATTTGTGCTACTTACAAGTACTCGCCCCAGCACCTTCACATACTTCTGTTATGTGGTTCTGTTTGTGGTAGTGGCAGCGCCATCTTTTGGGCAAAAACGTATCTACCTTTCACACAATTGCATTTTACTACATTGCAACTGACACAGGGCTTCATGTAATGTCTTGCACTCGGGGATAATAAAACCATCCCATTGGAATACAAAGCCATCTGCCACAACTCACCAAAAACTTCCTAAGGCCCGTGTTTGTATTGAACCTGACAACTTTTAATTGGAGATGTCTTAGTAATGGCAATTGGTTGATGCTACCATGGCTGTCCATTGCTTCCTTTTAAGCCTTACAATTTTTTCTTCCGTTGTGCTGATGAATATCGACAACTTGTGTACATTATATTTTTTACGTGGATGGCCATCAGTTCTACTAGACTTCAGTCTTACATCCGTGTACAAAATGAGTATGGCAGTTATGACCTTCCATTCAAAGGAAGTTTACTCCCGAGCTACGCCGGGTTTTACTGCTAGTAGTAAATAAAACTATAACTAAGGATGGCTCATCATAGTTGTAGTTTAAACCACAGGTGGGCTCTGTGGATGTTGAACAAACACAAATGTTCCTGAGCAGACATATGCAACAGGAATTAGCTAGCCATTCTAGTAGAGTGGCATCCTCAGATATGAGTGGCTGTACCATTTAGATATGGCAGTGTGAATGCTGGACAATTTCCTCACAGATGAAGAGATTTGAGGCAACATACAGGGGGTATCATCATTGACTGCTTTTACTTCTCAATTTTTCTTTTTTATATGCACTTATGAGCTAGAGAGATAAAACTAACATCCATATACTAGCAGTAGAACCCGGCGTTGCCCGGGGATGTAACAGTTGAGTAAGAGATAGATCAAGTATCGACCATCATAAAGACTGAAAAATAAAATTGACAAAGATTATTGTTTAAGGTTGACGGACACGCATGTCTTAATTAGGTTTTTTTTGTTTGTTTCTTTGGGTTTTTTTACGAATTAGTCAAACCCAAACTCAAACAAAAACATTGTTTTCAATCGTTATGAGTCTACTGATTGAATAGAATTTTTCAATTTTATTACAAACAATTGTCTTGTAAATGGAATTTTAAAGCATTCTGAATGTAAAAATAAAGAAAAAAGTGTGCAAGACAATAAGAAACGCTACCTGCCAAAAAAAAAAGTGAAGTTTTGTTGAAATCGGTTGAAAAATGTAGGAAATCCGATCCCATATATAAACGAACACACAATCACATTCAAACAACCTGGGTTTTATAATAAGTCGATATGAGTTGTCTCCCTTTCATTCTGGCGACAGAATCGTGTTTTCAAATTGATTTCGTGCAAAAACAATTGTGTTTTTCCAATTTTTGGCACTGTCAGAACCACTGCAAGGTAATTTTAAATGTAAGAAATCCGATCCAATATATAAACGTACAGACACACACACACACAATCTGTGTTTTATAATTTTATATAATATATATATATATATATATATATATATATATATATTCACAGGGACAATCAGTTGACCAAGTCTATAAATAAATACATAAGGCTATATTAATGTCAATTTATAAGGGGTCAATTTGGGAAGCTTTACAGAAGATATTTCAATATGTAATACCTCAAAGGACTTGTCATCAGATAGCATATAATAGTCTGCATCTTAACTCTTATTGCAGCCAGAAAACACATTATTGGAAAACAGATTACAAGAGTCTTAGAATTGTCAAGCTATACTCATGAATAATGGTAAACAAAAATGCTTACATCTCACACACATACACATAATATATTAGCATGAGTTGAACATTTCTGTTTTTGTTTATCAACTTTATTCTTCAAAACATTATAACAGGTTCCCAAAAGCAGAAATGACTTAGAACTTGACCTAATAACTTCAATTGACAATGCAAATTTCAATGCATCCTCACTACCAATATAGGTAGTGAGGATGCATTGAAATTTGCATTAGTTTTTGATGAAATAATTAAGGGTTTAAGCATAAATGACTTAGGACTCAACCTAATAACTTCAATTGACAATGTATTTTGGTATTGAGGATACATTGAAATTTGCATTAGTTTTTGGTGAAATAATTTAGGGTTTAATTATAAAAATAAAAATTGCACATACTAACCAATTGATCTCCATCCTTTTCCCAAATGTTTTGCTATTTCTTGGAGATAATTTTTTGATAATTGTTTGGTTGAATCTGTAACGTGAAAAGAGATTAACCACATGAAATAAATTTTATCTACAGTGCAACAAAGTTATACTAGGACTCTTCATATCTTTCATCTTTGCTGTTGGTGGGCCAGTTTTTGTTTCTATATGAAAAGTACTTATGAGTACTTATTGCAAATGTAACCTATTTAAATTGGGATATGTGGATGGCTTAACAATTATTGGCATGGAAAGAAAAATTAGCAAGCTGAGTTCAAAATCCTGCTGAGTCTGTTGCATTCACTATCTCACAAATACTTCTGGAAAAAAAAAAACATGAATCTCTAGGCCAATGGCCAGCAAAATAACAGGGTAGAATGGGATCTCTAATCTTGGGTAACAGTCAGTCTAGCAGGCAACAAAGCTCTTTCCCTAGCAGTAACAATAATTCATAGATAATAAAGAAAAGAAACTATGAAGAGATATGACTGCCTACATCCTAGTGACATGGCATTTAAAGTAAATTTTAATCAGCCTTGACAGGGTCCAAAATCGTTTATGTGACTTTGTGGGGGAGGACTTATTTTTCCTCACTTCAGCCTCTTTCCCACAGGTGCAATATTGCAAGCCTATTGCTACTCTATCACTATGTCTATGGCAAATGTTCAGATGCATTTAGGTATTTAGTAAACATGTCTTTGTGGGGGAGGACTTATTTTTCCTCACTTCAGCCTCTTTCCCACAGGTGCAATATTGCAAGCCTATTGCTACTCTATCACTATGTCTATGGCAAATGTTCAGATGCATTTAGGTATTTAGTAAACATGTCTTTGTGGGGAGGACTTATTTTTCCTCACTTCAGCCTCTTTCCCACAGGTGCAATATTGCAAGCCTATTGCTACTCTATCACTATGTCTATGGCAAATGTTCAGATGCATTTAGGTATTTAGTAAACATGTCTTTGTCTGACACAATGGCAGAAACATGTGATGATCGAATATAATATTTGGTAATAATGATCTGTGGAATCAACTTGCTCATCATTACAGCACAAAGTCGTTTTGTAAATAATTATAAAGCCTAGTTTAGTTTGGCACAATGACACAAGTGTAGAGAACTTAGTAAATATCTAATTCCTTACAGAATAGTCTGCAAGATGAACTCATTAAGCATTGCTACACTGTGAGGCGTCTAAATAAGTATAATATAAAAGCATAATAATTAGAACATGCTTTGGGACTAAAGTTCACTCTAGACCTCAAGTGGAATTTGTATATATACTAAAGAATGGTGGGAAAATGGTCAGCTCATTCTATCATTTTAGAAAGTGCCCAACTCTTTGCTGCCATGCTTTATCTTTACAAGAGTCAGATTAGACAAAAAAAAAATGGAGTATTGCTGCCAATGAGGCTGGAGCTGTCCAATCATCACTTTCTAGCCTTCTTAGAATTCAAAATTGTTTACACAGTATTGTGGAGGAAGACTTATTCTCCTCTCTGAAAATTCATTCTCACAAGTGCAACATTGCAAACTTATTGCTATTTCCATGGCAAATGTGACATCCACAGTGTTAAATCACCCTCATTCTCCACATATTCCATTGGTGAGACAAAAGTTTCACTCAGTTTTCTACAAAGTAGAAAACTGAGTGAAAAACTATATTTCCTTGAAAAACTATAATATTAAACTGTTCAAGTACAGAATTAGTCGTTATCTATCCTTCATATCCTCATAATCATCACTTGTTACTTCATCTTCTTACATCCATACCATTTACCTCATTCTGTAACCCTTTACCTTGAGTGGTTCTTGTGATTTGCATTGGTTGAACATCAAAAAGAAAAAAAAATTAGGTATGATTTCCTTTCTGTTTAATTTTAAGTTAATACTATTGATTTTGTTTAATCATTTCACTCCAAACAAGGTAATAAAGCCACTTAACACAAGGAGTTATTGAGTGTGAGAGAATATGAGAAAAAATATATTATTAAAGAGAGAGAACAATAAAAGAACAGGAATTAAAAAACAAGATAACGATTGACATTGCATTTAATTTTTTGAAGATCAAAGTTGACTGGAAAGATAAATGCTAGAGGAAAGTTTCACAAGTGAGAAGTGTGAGAAAAGAAACTGTTAACATAGAACTTACAGTTACATCTAGCCATTTCAACTGTAAAATGATGAGACCTTGCTGCCAATCTAGTACTGTGCATAAATTCATAAAGTCTATGTACCATATAGGAAAGTTCATCAGAATAATGACCATTATTATTATAGCAAAGGCAGAGGGAAGCTACATTATGGTGGTGGGAATGTGAATGAAGCCAAGATACCAGGTTAGGATCAATAACATTGCAGATTCTTCTTTGTATTTTATCAAGAATCTCTATATATAGCAGGAGCACCAGACCAGACGTGGTAGCAATATTCAAAGCAAGGATGAATGGTAGATTTATATATGTAAGATAGATTCTGTATCTAATATGTAATATAGATTGTGTTTTTATCAGTCTGTATGACAATAATGTTGCAGGAGCTTTGAAAATAATTCTATTTGATTGAGTCATAAATAATTTCCGGTTTTCTTTATAAATTTTACTCTTCAAAATATAAAGTACAATTATATTTTATTTAATTACATATTCACTTTTATTCTTTTATTTTTATTTAAATATATATATATAAAATAAATAAATCCTAATGAGCCAGGTACTACGTACCTAAGTTTCACCATATGGAATCATCAGGGTTCACCCTGATGATTCCATGTGGTGAAACATACATATTCTTTTATTTAATTATATATCCACTTTTATTTGCAATCATTTGTTGCCGCTTATAGGGCAGCTCTTTGATACCATTTGAGTAAATTTTTGCAGGTTTTGATGTGAAAAGTTTTCGTTGAACTCTTCAATATGGTTTTTATTAGAGAGAATTTTCCCCATCAAAGTTATTTGCAGTTATTGAAAAATTTAATAACCTGTTGGTGCCAGGTCAGGTGAATATGGTGAGTGGGGGTAGACCAACCAAGTTCCAAAATGTTTATTGGTATTATTCTTGCTGTATATAGCCTTGCATTGTCATGGAAAATAAAAATGATGAGTTGAAGAGTGCCTTATAAACACAAATCCTTCTTAGACTCTTGAAATATACACATCTCCTCAGTTTTGTATTCTAATGTAAACGAAGCAATTTCTAAAGAAATGATGGATTTTTATTCATTAATCCAACAGATTTTAATACATAAATGAAACTGAGAAGATATGTATATTTCAAGGGTCTAAGAAAGATTTGCATTTATAAGGCACTATTCAACTTTGCTTGATCATCAACATATTTTGTGACCACAAGGTCTAAAAAGCTATTGATGAGCACAAGGTATTTTTCAACCAAAATTTTATGGACATGTTGCAGCTGCTAGATGTATAAATGTGTATTCAGTGCTTCAATTCTATTTTAAGAATGCTAAATGAATATTACCCTGATGATCTGACCACATGCACAAAGTTACAGCTATTGGGGTCAGTTCTGGAAATTTATACTTGTCAATCTGTGACACACTCCGGTGGTCGCAGTGCCAATATGTGATGTCCTCTGGTTGTGACGCCAATATGTGACACTGCGCTGTCGGCCTGTGGTCAGCTCCCAGTTGCGGTGCGAAGCTGTAAGGTTTCTTCCACTAGTGTTTGGGGTTGACTCCTTGTCGCTGCCACCAGCCTGTGTCCTGGTCATTTCCGGTTCGATAGCAGCTTTGTTGTTCCCAGCTCACTTCCAACGTCCGGTTAGCGAAGTAACTGCTTTGATCTCAAGTCTAACCTACCCATGTTGTGACTTTGATCTTAGGTAGACGAAATCAATCAGACGTCAGGCTGTAGAGCAAGCTGAATCCGGGGTGAAGGTGATATCACACAAGCGTAAGTAAAAGAAGCAATAAAACAAAACTCAAGAGGTTCAAATATGTTGAGAAATAACAAATTATCTTTATCCGTCTGTTATATACAGGAGTGTGTTTCTCTCCCAGCCCGTTCCTATGGATTTGCGACACTTTTGCGTTTCTTAAGCAAGTTTTGGTATCTTAATTCGTTCATCAATATAACTTGCTTTTGGTAGGAAGTTGAAGTCGGAAGCACGTGAAAATCTCTCAGTCAGCTTCTGTGAGGCAACACTCTGACAGCAACTGTGAAAACTACCCAAGGACGTTTGTTTATATGGGCACCGAACAAAACCCGGTGTGGGGCCTGACGTGGCTTGGGTTCCCGATAATTCTCAATTCCCAGCAAGATTTCTCTTTGTTCTTAGGCCAGGAAAATTAATTACTTCCCATTTTTGAAAGATTAATCACTTTCCATTTTGAGGGTTTCTCCCTCGTCCGTGAGTGAAGTTTGGAGGAGAGTTATCCTCCTAGACATTTCCTCTCTCACATTGGTATCTCATACCAATCCCCTCTGTGGGTGTTAACAACTTCTCTGTCTTTCTCATACATTCACCTCCGCCTATCACCCATGCTACCACTTGACCAATGATCTCTCAGCAATGTGGGTGTGGCTAGACTGGCCCTCTTAAAATTATTATCCAGAATTTTGTTTACAAAATCCTTTTTTTCTTTTTTTTTTTATTTTGGCCAAAACATTTTTTTTACAAACCCCAGATTGCCAAATAATTCTTATCACATCTTTCTTTTGGGGACACCCAAAATTCACTTAGTCGGGTCTCTCTACTGACTCATCAATCACTGTCAAAACCCAACACCTGGTTTTTCTGCTAAGTCAACTTTTAGCTGGGAGGTCGGTATTTTACCTGAGAATCAAATTCTTTATTTTTCTCATGCCTTAAAATCATCTTATCACCAGATGCCCATTTTCGACGATGCTGTGTCTGACGTCAACAGTTTGAATAAGCAATAATAATAATTTCCTTTACAATTTTCTTTCTCATGCCAGAATTCTAACACATACCAGATGATTTCCCTTTGTTGGACCCAGGAATTAAAATTAAATGATATCTCTGAAAGATAACTAATATCGATTCTCTCTGCCTGTACCGTGGTGGTCTCAAGCCGAAATTTTTTTTATGGCCGCCATGTGTCGGTTGGCTTTGTTTTTCTTTCTGAATTCTGTTTCTCTTGGTGTGTCACTCCCTTAACATGACATTAATCAGGTTTGACAGAATCTCATATCTCGCTTTTTCTTATGGATGTTCTGTCTCATGCGAAAAGTATCTTTCTTCATAAATAAAATCAAATCTTTTTAATGTCGCTCAGTCTCTTTCGATATAGCTCTTTCTTGCCTTAAGTCTTTCCTGTTTTTAATTTCTATGGTTAATTAGTTAGCCAATTACCATAGCTAAATAGTGTCACAATCTACAGCCTTTTGTATTGGCATTGTCATGGGTTAGTGTACTTCAAATTTATTCTTAACTACCATATATGATTAGTAGTTAGGATGATACATTCATTGTTACAATTTAGTTCACAAAAATGGAAATTACTTATGACTCAACCTAATACAAATAAGCAAAAACATATATTTGTGCAAGTGGCTTGACGTATAGCTTCCAGATGAAAAATAAACAAAACTAAAAAAGGATTTCAGCCAATAGAAACTTTTTCTGCCTAAAAGCAAAAATCTTCTTCTGGAGCCTACAGTGACCTATAAGTAAGCGGAAAATGTTGTCCAGTCATGAGATTTTCAATGCCACACAGGTCACATCAGTTTTCTTTTTGAAGTTTTACATTTGTTCTGATAACATGTGGACTGCTTTTTCACCTATTCCTGTATCATTTAAATTTGGGAATATTAACCATTATCTTTTAAGTCAACCTTTTTTTGGCAAACATGGACCTTTGTCTCTGCAAAAATAATGATGTGTCAAAAGGATCGTTTTTCTCATGACACCACTTTTATTTTAACTATCTTCACTCTTCGACAATGTTTATTGTTTTAAAATGTGATGAATAGAATTGTAATAAAACCTAAACATATGATGAAAGTGAATTTATACATTCTTTGTTCTTGAGAATTTACAACAAAAATATTAATCACTATTTATTAGATTGTTTATTTACAAGAATAATTTTAAAAAACCAATACAATTGTATTAAGGCTAATGTAATGCAATTACCAATTTATAAATAAATATAAAAATAATTTTTTATTCATAAATTTATAAACATTTACTAAATTATTAAAATATGTGAATCAGCTATAATGAAATCCTTATTATTTATCATTTTATAAAGTTTGAATGAATTGGCAATTAGCCAACATTTTGCCAACCATTCCAATAAATAATATAAATAAAAATTCTAATAAATAGTGTTTAATTACATGTTGCTAAAGAAAGGCTCCACGAAAAGGCCATATTAGGTGCTGTGGCTACTGGATGAGTGAGTTTAGGGTTTTTTCCTACCATTCAGGTGGACAGAGCCAAAGGTAAAGAAAAGAGCCTTTTAATACAAGAAGAAGTACGCAAGGGCGAGAAGAAGAAAAGGGTGACAAAGATGGTAGGACTAAGGCAACAAGGTGCGTGGACCAATGGGGAATCCATGATTTATAGGAAAATCAATGGTCAGATATATGGAGCAATGATATCAAGATAAAGTTCCTGATTCAGACTGTATACGACACCCTTCCCACTCCTACCAACCTCCACCTATTGTATGAAACAGAATCGCCACTATGCCACTTGTGTTCGCGTCAAGGAACTCTAAAGCATATTCTAAGTAGCTGTAAGACAACATTTTCTGCTTACTTATAGGTCACTGTAGGCTCCAGAAGAAGGTTTTTGCTTTTAGGCAGGAAAAGTTTCTATTGGAAGAAATCCTTATATAGTTTTGTTTATTTTTCATCTGGAACCTTTTAATACAAGAAGAAGTACGCAAGGGCGAGGAGGAGAAAAGGGTGGCAAAGATGGTCGGACTAAGGCAACAAGGTGCGTGGACCAATTGGATCAATTGGGAATCCATGATTTATAGGAAAATCAAATGGTCAGATATATGGAGCAATGATATCAAGATAAAGTTCCCGATTCAGACTGTATACGACACCCTTCCCAGTCCTACTAACCTCCACCTATGGTATGAAACAGAATCGCTACTATGCCACTTGTGTTCGTGTCAAGGAACTCTAAAGCATATTCTAAGTAGCTGTAAGACAGCACTAATGGAAGGCCAGTATAGATAGAGGCATGATGAAATCTTAAAGGATCCAGCAAAGATAGTTAATATGGCCATCAGTACTAATACTTTAAACCTAGATAAAAGAACCATAGAGTTTTATACAGCTGGTGAGAAACCCCCAAAAAAGGACACGAACATAGCAAATACTCTGTCATTGGCAACACACTTGGGAATTAAGGGTCAACTTAGGAAAAAAACTAAAATTCTCTGACCACATCGTGCAAACATCATTACGCCCAGATTTAGTATTCTTCTCTAATAATATTAAGAAAGTAATAATGTGGAAACTGACAGTGCCTTGGGAAGAGCATGTAGTGTAAGATGTTAAAATATGACGAACTAATAAAGAGTTGTAAAAACAAAGGAAGGAAATTGAGATGTTGTGAGTTTCCCGCGTGTCGGTGTATGAATCAAGACAAACACAGTTGTAGAGGAAAATACTGGTATATTCATAAGAGCAATTAACAATAGAGTGATTAGTAGAACGAAGGTTGGTTAGTACGAAACAATATCCAAAGTCTATAGTCCAACGGTATGTAACGGGTAAGCTTATCTGGACTGCTGTTGCTGACGCTCTCCCACTCGCTCCCCAGAACTGACTTATATAAGAGGGACCAGTCCATTACTAGTTAGAAGGTGGGTGCGCCCCAACAGAAATCAAGCTGTTTGCCAATCCAGGTGGGTGTAAAGGGTTTTGCTGCAAGGTCCCCCATGCAAAGCCCTAACTGATATTGGCTTAGTAGGTGCTAATAAAAGAAAGGCGATTCGTACCATAACTAATACAGCAGAAAGGACAGCAAAATTGTTATGGAATAAGCATGATAGCTCTTGGACTTCAATGTAACAATAATTATCAAGCCGGGTAAATCTGTAAATAATTACTAATATAAATGCAACATGGCAATAATATAAACATAGTTTTTTTTATTTATTTATTCATTAATTTTTTTTTTATGTTTAAATACATGACTTGAATTGTACAGGTACAGACAAAGAATATATCATGTCAATTTGTAAATTGTGTTATTTGTTGTTTTTTATGTTAAACCCATTTTATACGCGCTAATTTTAAGTTACTATTTACCTTTTAGCGGTTTCAGCGTGACACATCTCGTAAGATTTTTGTCTATTATTCTGATATATTTTTTTTTAATTTTATATTTATTCGAACATAAGACCTTTTGTCTATTATTCTCATTTTCTTTTTAAATTTTATATTTATATGAACATTTCGCATTTTGTATATTATAAATCGGAATCATAACACATATATAGTATATTTATAGAGTTTTTTCTCTCTATATCGTTTGTATATTATTTTGATTTTATTTTATTAGTTTAATTGTCATCGGTTTTAAGCGATACATATATATAAATATAATATGAAGCTTCGTTAATACTTAATATATTCCAAGAGCATTTCGTCGTCTATTGTATTTAACAACTTCAAATTTGTAAATAGTTTAAATCAATGTTAAGGAATATTATAGTGCTTATTGTACTTTTATTTTATTTTTAATTTCATTTTTGTGTGTACAGGAAAAATAAATATACGTCATGTTTATGGACAATTATTATTTTAATTTTGCGAATACATCCATTTAAAGTTAACCTGTAATAATGTTAAGAAACAGGCTAAACGATAAAATGTGATAGTAGGGTTGAGTTTAAGTTTCCCTGCCAAAAGAAAAGAAAAAAATACAAATAAAATAAAAACAGCAAATAATTAAACTATACAATACTTTTAGGAAAAGGCTTAAACTTAGGAACATTAAGATTACCTCCTCGGTTATCCATCGAAACTGCAATCCACCGAAATAAGAAAAGAAGCCAGTCCCCTCTGCGGGCCATTTAAAGATAGTTCACGCAGTGGATTGGTTGTTACAAACATCCAATTGCATGTGCGAAATATGTGGGTTTTTTTTGTCTAATTCTTTAAAAAGGCCAGAGTAGCTATTAGCGTTTAATTGTGAGGGGGAATCAACAGTTGATTGGGGCGATTTGGTGATGGGGAGTATTATGTTGAAATGAAACTCTCTGAAGAACTAAGTCAAAACATCACTGACGACCCCCTCGGGCGCTACTTAAAAGCGTAATTTTGAATTGTTGCAAATTCTCAAGAACAAAGAAAAGGTATAAATTCACTTTATGTTTAGGTTTTATTACAATTCTAATTATCATTTTTTAAAACAATAAATATTGCTGAAGAGTGAAAGTAGTTAAAATAAAAGCAATGTCATTGGGAAAAAAAAACGTCCATTTTACACTGGTATTTTTTTTGTGGGCATGAAGGGCTGTGTTTTTTTTAATAAGATCAGTCATTATTTGCAATTTTAAAAGTTAAAAAAAAAAGGTTTGCATCAGATTAAATTTTGCCTGTGTAGCCATTCTTCATCACCTGTTACAATATATTTAAGGAATGATGTTAGGCTGATACATTTGCACTTTCAAATTGGTTTCTGAAAATAGAAATTGCTTATAACTCAGTCTAATATAATCCTCATTGTGTCTACTGCATACGTGGCATTGTTCCAGATAAATTTAAGCTTATAATAAATATTATTAAAAGAAATATATCCTAGAATTCAATTTGCGATGACAATTGATCAACTTACTCAGATAAACTTTCAATTGCTCTTCAGGTATCTTTTTCTTCTGGGTTTTTTCTTTATTTTCTCCAGAGTGAACATGCATTACGTTATTGTTGCCAAATTGTAAGTTCTGACAACTAATTCCCTCTGTAAGACAAATTTAGAATAAGATAATCATTTTTACAATGATTTTCTCATAACATTTTTGAATGCAGCACAAAATAAAACATCAAATAAATCACACAATCGACTTTAAGAGAAAAATATCAGACTTTATCTAACATGAAAACACCACTAGAAAAATAACATTTGAGCTAAGCCAAATAGCCAAAATTCATTAAAGGAATATTTTTTATATTACTCTTCAATTGTTTTGATTATAAATAGTCAAAAATTTGGGTGATCCTTTTGGTATGTGACTGAAGGATGAAGTCACCAAACCACTTCTGACACTATGCACATATGCAAATTGACTTGTAACCAGACACCTGAAAGAAAAATGTCCCTTTAAATACAAAAAACGATCATGACCCCAAGCAAAGTGCTACGGAGAGTAATAAAGAGCAAAGAGCTGAGATGTAACAGTGAGCTACAGATAGACAGAGAGCTGGAATGGGATATGGAGTTGGGCAGTTACATGGTGGAATAGTTGACATCACCACCCACCTCTTTGTTACCTACTCCATCACCCTTTGCAAAATATTTCCTGAGAAGAATTTGTCAACTGAATGTATTTTCCGAGCCTAAGAAATTTTCATTTGCAGATTAATAATGGAATGGAAGTGTTGGAGACTGAAGTTTGAGATTGCCGACTGATTGATTTGTTTTTATGGTTTATCAACCTTTTGCAAGCTGAAATAGGTTATTTAAACCTAGAACATAGTAAGATTATATTTTTTTTTTTTTTTGCTATTGCATATTCCATTAACAATTTTTTAATAATAACAATGATTTTTCGAGATATGATCTCACTATTTAACCCATAGCTTGAGGGGAGATTCATACCTTTCCAAAGGTATTTGTTCATAAGTCAACATGACGAACTCCACTGGAATTTGAACTTGGCTCTCTGATTTCTCATTCTGAGATGTTACCCATTAAACCCTCCACACACCCTTAAAGTTGGAGATGATTTACAACGATATCGTGTTGAAACACCAATTCCTATATGATCACTGAAGATTAGTAACATTGAACCTGGTCACTACATAGATGGGTGACCAGGTGCTGTAAGCTTGGATGTGCAGGTGATGTAATGGATAATGTTATATACTGTACCTACGAACACTAATGGGTATGTCCCACTCCTCATAAATACGTTGGACACTATTGTAAGTGGATGTAATATGCTAAGTAGTCAACCACTAACAGTGGTTTACCTACTTCAGGCCGCTGGTGGATATTGTATTTTGCTGATGTTATAAAGATTACCATTTTCATTTCCAACCTCTATTTTGGTTATTCCTTATTCAGTAACTCTTTCTAGGTTACAACAGATAACGACTTGGAAATGTTAATCAGAGAGCACTGAGTTCTAATTCCAGTTCAGTTTGTTATATTTACTTACATGCAAATACCTTTGGAAAGGGTATGAATCCATTTCTTCTCCCTCTAGCTATGGGTTAATTAAAATGCATTTTTCCCCAAATGACCTTCTAAAAGTGTTATGGTCCGGTTCCTTGTACCACGTTGATAGTCCAAAGTAGAACCAATAAAGAAGAACTCGAACACGGATATGGAATAACACAGATATATTACAAACAGGAATATATACAGAGAAGTAGAAAGTGTTAGTACGAACAATCAGGTTTAGTAGGGAGAACAATGTAGTCTCGACCAGTATCACTATTCCAATGTCTTGTAGTAATTGTCTGAACGTGACTCTGTTTGGGACTGCCTCTGACTCGACTGACTGACTCCTGGCGGACTTCTGACAGACCTCACTCCAGACTTCAGACTGAACTCTCTGCTTCCTCTTGAGGCGCAGTATTTACTACGTATGGAATAGTCCATAATTTATTATAGGTAAGGTCCCAAAATAAAAAGCATCTGTTATTCTGTATAAATCACTGCTTAACCTTTATCACTCTGTATGTGACTTTATTTACTGTACAAAAAGTTTATCCTGCCACTGAAGGTGACTGATTGCTGAACAGTAGTGTGTTTGAATTTCATAGTTGTGTTGCCATACCCTACTATCGCAACAGAAAACAACATTAGTGAAATTAACAATAAGGACACAGCAATTGAGAGGCCTTGAAAAAGGATGCAGTGGAAAGGGAAATAATATTAATAATGTAGAGTGCTAAACATACAAAAAATTTATTAACATGTCGACTGTCAGAGGTCAATTATGAAATCTAACTTTAAACACCAACTTCATAATAACCAACAAAAAAATTTTATGCGTTGATTTATAGCTTCAACTGAATTCTTAACATTGTTTTCACACTAAAAGTATCACCGCAAATAAATTCATTATTGACATGAGATAGTCAGCATCATAATAAAACCTGCTGACCATTAGATATTTCATGGTTGGCATTTTATGATACATTTTCATCTGCATGTGCTAACAGTGAGTTTATTTTAGCATAATAAGTTCAATAGACAAATAGGTAGGTAGATCTATATCATTAGAAGGGATGTGCATTTACCATTGTTTTAAACTGGATAAATAAAACAATATTATGAATGTTGAAATTAGCTCTACCTAACAAGAAAAATCAATAGTAATTTTGTAATTACGGTGTACATTTAAAATATCAACATTTTAACAGGTTCGGAGGTCAATTACAAAATCTGATTGCCAGAGGTCAATTACAAAATCTGACTTCAAAGTTTTCTGAGTTGATTTACAGCTTCAACTGAAATCTTAACATTGTTTTCATAATAAAAGTATTATTTCAAATAAATTTGTTGTTAGCACCTGCAGGTGAAAATGTATTAGAAAATGCCAAGTGCAAAATAACTTGTGGTTGGTAGTTTTTATTGTGATGCTGATTATGAGTTAATTCATGAATGACAGTCAATGTGTTAAACTAATACTTTGGCTGTGATATATTTGGGTGTTCAGAAAGTAATTATATTTTACCAGAAAGGATATAAAAAAAAATAATACAAAATGTAAATTTATTTAAAGTTTGTGAAATTCATCGGTTTGATGCTTTGGTACACCTCATCAATGATGTTTTTAGCTAAGGATCATGAGGAGTTTTAGGTTTTTTATTTATTAAAAATGTATTTACTTTCATTTTCAATGACACCAACCTAATGAGAAGATACATGTTTGATCTGACATTTAAAGAAATCTGTTTTTCTCTCTCTTTTTTTTTTGTGACATTTTAAAAAAAAAATTAATTTCACCCGTAGCAAGGCAATAAATTCACTAAGATGCAAGGAGATAATAGATGAATCCAGCTTGTTTGAATCTGGTGTCTTAAACATGGCTTCTCCACAAACATAGAAGAATCTCATATGTAAGACCCCGATCTTTTTGTTCTCCTGATACTTTGCTTGCTATGTAGATATATGTAATATTTTTCTCCGTGTGAATCTCATATATATAATAGTTTTGTGTAGGTCTTAGTGATATAAAAGCTCTCTCTGAGAACAAAACATGTTTGTCATTCCTTTTCCTTTTAGCCATTCTGTTCCATCTGTGAAAAACAGTGTTATTATTATGGATATAATAATGCTCATAATGGGGGAAAGCATAAATGGGAGGATAAATATTTTTTCCAAGCTCTCCCATTATAATATGAAATAAAATAATAAATGAATTAAAGAAAATTAATATTTTTATAGTCAATACGGTGCTTCTAAAATATCAAAATTGGGGATGAAATAATTAAAAAAAAAAAAGTTTGTACTTACGGAATTTCTTATTTTCTGAAAGTCCCATGAAATAAAAGTCCTAAAAAATATAATAATTAAATAATTAATGATAAAGAGAAAAAAAGAGGAAAAATAAAATATAATCTTTTTTAGAACAGCGATTTCCAAAGTGGGCAGTACTGCATCTTCCACCTGGGGGGTAGCAGTGGAAAGATCCAGAGGGAAGCAGTGAGCTGGAGAGAGCCAGTGGGAAATCTGAACCATAACATACACCACACACATATTGTAACTGAAGTGTATCTTGCCTTCAGTTTACAGTGTGTTATATAGGAATAAAGTGTTGCTGCCAACACTGGAGTTTGAACACAGATCACCAGAGAACAAACACAGGGGATCCCATTTGAAATCAGTAGATCATGTGATTGAAAATGAAATGTATATATGGGAATTAGCACAGCATCTAATTGATCACTCTTTCTATTCTATCCTCTATTACTATATGGATCATTATTCTCTATACTATTCTCTATACTGATCACTACACGGATTACTATTTGGTGGTTAATTTTTGAGTGAATATTATCAAGCAAGTACTATTAGTGTGAGTGTTATTTGAAGGCGTCTGACACTGGTATTGTTCAACAGCATTATTATAGTTGTATATGTGATTACAAAGGTTCTACTATAATGCATTACAAAAGTGACAACGAGTATTTGTTGACATCACAAAAGTGGCAACAAGGATTCCTTGAACTTACACAAAGATTCTTTGAACTTACACAAGGATTCCTTGAACTTACATGAGGATTTGTTCAGTTTACATAAAGAAAAAATTAATTCAGCATTGTAGAGTGAAATGGAAGAACTAAAATCTATCATGATTCAAATGTTGGTGCTACAAAAGCAACAAGAACAACAGTTGCAGCAACAAAAACTACAACAAGAACAACAATTGCAGTAACAAAAGCAGCATGAACAGCAATTACAATTACAACAACAGAAGATTTTTGAGTTGTTTACCAAAACAATGGAAGGAAAACTTCAGATTCATTCACTCCAGATGCTGTTGCTAATTCAATCAGCTAATTTATATACAATCCAGATGAAGACTTAACTTTTTCAGGTTATTATAGAAGATATGAAGGGATCTTCAAAAGGGATTGTTTGCATTGGAATGATGAAAAGAAAGTTTGGTTATTATTAAGGAAATTATCCCCTGCTGAACATGAAAAATATGTGAATTATATTTTGCCAAAAAAAACCAGGAGAGATAAATTTTGATAAAACTGTTCTAATACTATCAAAAATTTTTGGTGATAGGAGTTCATTATTTAATACACGATGGCAATGTCTTAATTTAGTAAAGTGCAATGATGAAGATTTTGTCATTATGCAGGAGTAATGATAAGAAGCCTAAAAGGGAAATCAACAAGACATCATGAAAGAGGAAATTTGTTTTTGTGCAAATTAATGATGTAAAAATAAAATTGCAACTAGATACAGGATCTGATATCACTATCATAAAGGAACAGACATGGAAAAAATGGGTAAACCCAGTTTATTGACTTCTGATAAAGTTGTGCATGGAGTCTTAGGAAAGAGATTGAATTTTGGGGGTAAATTTAGCTGTAATGTTTCTTTTGTGGGAAAAACCAAAAAAGTGGTGGTGTTTGTATTAAAGAATACTGCTAATTTGTTTGGAACAGACTAGATTGTATTGTTTGATCTTTGGGACCTCCCAATTAACTCTTTTTGCAACAAGATAAATATTGTTATCCCTGGTACTAATACAGCAACTGAAAAATTGAAAATGACACTGTTTTCCAGAAGTTTTCTCAGAAGGTATAGGGACATGCATAAAAGCAAAAGCTTTGAATTAAAAGAAAATGTAACACTGACATTTAAGCCAAAAAGGAGTGTACCTTTTGTGGCCAATTAATAATGAATTGGACAGACTAGAAAAATTAGGTGTAATATCAAAAATATAGTATTCCGAATGGGTATCACCAACAGTCTACGTTAAAAAAAGGAATAATAAAAACTGTGTATGTGCTGATTTTTCAACGGGGTTAAATGAAAATTTAAAACAATATAACTACCCATTGCCAAGTCCAGAGGAAATTTTTGCTAAATTGAATGGAGGTAATTTTTTTTTCTAAATTGGATCTGTCAGATGCTTACCTACAAGTACTAGTGGATGAAGACTGCTCAAAATTATTAACAATTAACACTAATAGAGGGTTATACAAATTCAACCAACTTCCTTTTGGTATAAAGGTAGCACTAAGCATATTCCAACAGATAATGGATACCATGCATGCCGGTATGGATTGTGCTCAAGCATATTTGGATAATGTATAAGACCTGAAATCAGCAAAGAGAAAATATAAAAAAAAGTCTTTGAGAGAATCAAAGAATATGGTTTTAAGAACAGTGAAGGAAAATGCAAATTGTTTATGTCCAGACTTAAATATCTAGGACAAATTATCAATGAAAATGGTAGACGACCAGATCCTTCAAGGGCAAGCGCAATAAAGGACAAATGCAACAAAGTTACAAGCATTTTTAGGGTTTGCTAATTATTATCATATATATATATATATATATATATATATATATATACACACACCAAACATGCATGAATTAAGAGCACCCTTGAATAACTTGCTAAAGGAAGATGTGAAATGGAATTGGTCAGATGAATGCCAAAGTGCTTTCAAAGAGATCAAGAAAGTCTTAACTTCAGATTTGTCACCAGCTCATTTTGACCCTAAATTAAAGATTGTGGTTGCATTAGATGCAAGTGATTCAGGTATTGGAGCAGTGATACTACACAAATATGAAGACAGAACAACTAAACCAATAGCTCATGCTTCAAGATCATTGATTGCAGCTGAAAGAAGCTGCAACCAGATTGAAAAGGAAACATTGGCAATCATATTTGCTATGAAAAAGTTACATAAATTCATACATGGTAGACAATTCATGCTACAGACAGACCAATGTCCATTATTGTCCATATATGGATCAAAAAATGGTGTCCCCACACATACAGCAAGGGGAAGTATCCTATTAAACTATAATTATAAAATGTAATTTCTACCAGCCAAAACATTAAGTTGTGCAGATTGTCTAGACTAATACCAAAATTCTGTGAACCACTTGAAGACACAGTAATTGCAGTGATAAGGGCTGAAAATAAAATTAATAATGTATTATACATTACTGTAAAAGAACTGCCCATAACATTGAAGGAAATAAGAATTAAGTTAGAAAAAGATGACTTTATAATGAAAATGATTTAAAGTAAAAAATATTACTGGAAATAATGCATTTTCATTATGTAATAATGTACTTATGTATGCAGAAAGAATTGTGATGCCAGGATTGCTGTAAAAACGTATGTTAGAAGAATTTCACATAGGGCATCCAGAAATTTCAAGAATGAAATCCTTAATGAGGTGTTATACTTATTGGTTAAAAATGGATCAAGATATTGAAAATTTAGTGAAACCATGCAGAGGTTGTGCTCTGGCAGGGAAGTCACTGTTTATCAAAATTCAACCTTGGCTGAAAACTGATATGCCATGGTCCAGAATACATATAGACTTTACAGGATTGTTAAACGGAGCATACTATCTAGTGGTAGTCGATAGTTACACTAAATGGCCAGAAATATTAAAATGTAGAAGACCGACTACTTCAGTAATGATAAATTTCCTACACAAGATTTTTGCAAAGTTCAGTGTTCCTGACTATCATTTCAGATAACAGAACACAATTCACATCTAGTGAATTTAAGGTTTTTGGAAATCATTAGCAATAGAACTTATTACAACATCCCCTTATCACCTAAGATCAAATGGACAAGTGAAATGGTTTGTCAATATGTTTAAAAGGGCACTAAAACAGTCGGAGGGAGAGGAGTCAGATGAAGTAATGATTCAACAATTTCTGAGTGTTTACAGAATAACACTAAACCTGAATACGGTGTCTGGAATGTCACCTGCAGAGTTGATGCTTGCCAGGAAGATTAAGTCCATTTTTAATAAATTATTACCAGAATGTAAGGTGAGAACATCAAGAAATGACAATATAAGTAAATACTTCAAACCTGGAGAAGGCATTTTTTAAAATGTATCAATGCGGAAAGGAAGTCTGGGAAGATGGTGTTATAAAAAAACAGATTAGCAAAATGACATACATGGTAAAGGGACAAAGATGGGAACATAAGCGATACCTTAATCAGTTAAAATGGAGATTCACTGATTTAGTAAGTCCACAAAAAGAGGTGTGATGTGTGTTCTTAGTGCATATATCTATTGTACATTTAACGATTCAAGAAAAACAATGAAACTCCATATGTGGATAAACATATATATTGAAATATAACATACAAAACAACCATGCAATGAAGTGTAATGATTAAGGAAAAAAAAGTTGTTCCCCTTCAACTGTATTCTGATTTATGATCGAATGTTCGAAAGAGTTTCTCTTGAATAAGAATGTTCAGGATTCTATGTTGAATAGAGTTTGCTGTTAGAATAGAATACAGTTAATTAAGAAATGTGTTGTTTAGAGAAATTAATAGAGTTCTGATTCATGAACTTGGCTGAGTCACACAGAGAGATATGTATAATGTGTTAGAAAAATCTGTGTCTGTGTGTGCATTTGAAATGTGAGTAAAGTCATAGATTTGTGCGGACAGGTGAAAATAGCTGGACTCTACTGGCGGCTTGTGGAAAAATTGCTTCTTTTAAAGCTAGTGTTAGGCTCTCAGCAAAAATGTGGGAAAAACTGATTTAGCACTAAAATGTTTCATTGGTTAAAATTTGACCAATTACTGATTTTGTATCAATGAAACATGTGAGAAAATTCACAATCGAAAAATTAAAATAATGACTGCAATTGCTAAATTGTCTTATAGAAAGGCAGTATTGATTTGCTAGCCAATTGCAGACAAATAAATTTTGGGTGTGGAAAAGCATAGCAGTCGCTACAGAGGTACCGATGGAAATATTGCAAGTAATGTTTGACGTACCCACGCCACCAGAAATTAGTGAACCAAGGAGGTACAGT